GCACGGGCGGCACGTTTCAATGGCCGGAGAATGTGGTGTATTTGAGGATGCCTGGAAGGGGGCTGGCTGGCCGGAGGCGCAGGACGCAGTCTAGGGAATTTGGAATGGTGACGCGCACCCGGAGCCGCCGGCACCCTGGTGGCTCAACCCTCCAGGCTCCCGCCTTTTGCTGCGAGCATCCGGGAGGCAAAGCTCACCTGAAGCTGCCCTTCCAGGTTTCCATAGCAACCGGCATCCGCTGCGGGCGGCCCTTCCAGAGCTAGTAGGGAGGGAGCAGTTAATGTAGAAAAGATGATTTTGAAAAGCTCTTCACCCTCGTCTCTGCTGGCAGCGACACATTTAGTGAGTGAAAATAGAGACAGCTTACATTCTCTCTCATCTCTGCTCACGAAGTAGATGTAAAATCTTGCATGTGTGTGCATTTTCTGAGGACAGGCTTCACATTCCATTTTATTTATAAAAGGGTCCATCACCTCCACTCTTCCACAAAAATGGTTTAGTGTGGGTAAGCTTGACGTTACAAGTCTGTATCCAGATCTCAGTTTGCTCATGGTTAATGCTTGCTTCGCCATGTCCCTCTTTTCATCACTTAGGAAACACTTGCAAACTTGGAGAGACAGATCTATGCTTTTGAAGGAAGCTACCTGGAAGACACTCAAATGTATGGCAATATTATCCGTGGCTGGGATCGGTATCTGACCAATCAAAAGTGAGTGTCAGAATCTAGTAGTATCCATTTTATCCCCTGATAATATTTATCTGTATGGTTTTTGTATTGTTTTTTAAAAACATAGTCTTACCATGTAGCCCTGGCTAACTTGGAACTTAATATGTAGTTCAGGTGACCTCAGACTCACAGGTTACATAGATCCTTTTCCCTCTGACTTCCTTCCAGTTCTGGATTTAAAGGCATGGGCTGCCATTGCATATCTTGGGATGTTTGTTCTTGGTATCCTCTTTGCAGGGAGATGGTGATAGAGTCATTGTGTGAAATGAGGTCTAAGCTTGAACTTGTATTCTGACTCTGCCATTGTCTCATGGAGTAACCGTGGACAAAGCCCATATTTGTGACTAGGGAAAGTCGGGCCCATGGTGCAGGCATATGTAGGTATAAATGAAATACAACATGCGACTTAACTATCTTCCAGATTTTAGTCAACCGTGATATCCAGTTATGCCTTTTGCCATAACTGTATGCTAATTGTACCATTATTTACTTGGTAATGATACTATAAAAATTTCTAAACTTGTGGGAAGTTTTCAAACCTGTAGAAAAATTGAGATCATGTGATACATGGTAGTTTGTATTTTTCCCCTGTATTCATGAGTTGCTAACTTACTGTGGGTGCAAGCTCTAATATATGAAGCCATGTATGTATGCTTTGTATTTTGAAATAATTGCAGATTCATATAGGAAGCAGCAGAGAAGTCTTGTATGTTCTTCACACAGTTTTCTCTAATGGTTACATCTTACGTACCTATAGTAGTACATTATCAAAACCAGGCAACTGATCCTGGCATGACGTGAGTGTAGTTGTATGGCATTTTATCGTATCTGTATAACCACAGATGTAAAACTAGGCCCAGGAGGCATGGTTCAGTGGGTAAAAGCACTTGATGTGCAAACCTGATGACCTGAGTTCAGTTCCCAGAACCTATGTTAAAAAGCTGCAGGGAGAGATGATTCCCAGCACCCAAGTCAGGTGCCTTACAACTACCTATGCGGCCAGCTCCAGGGGATCAGACTTTCTACTACACTCATGAATATCTGCCCCACCACACATTAAACACACCTATGTATAATGTTTTTAAAATGCACATCTTGCCGGGCGTTGGTGGCGCACGCCTTTAATCCCAGCACTCGGGAGGCAGAGGCAGGCGGATCTCTGTGAGTTGGAGGCCAGCCTGGTCTCCAGAGTGAGTGCCAGGATAGGCTCCAAAGCTACACAGAGAAACCCTGTCTCGAAAAAAAAAAAAAAATAATAATAATAAAAATAATAAAAATAAAATGCACATCTGGCATTTTAGCACATTGAGGTGGGAGTTGGGGGCAGGAGAATCATTTGGAAGCTTGTAGGCTGGCAAGCTGGGATAGGCAGTGCTGTCAGAATAACAAGGTCGATTCTGGCTCAGCAAGGTAGAAGGCAAGGGCCAACACCAGGAAGTTGTCCTCTCATTTTAGTATGTGTGTAAAGATGCAGAAGTAGCCTGGTGGTGGCACATGCCTTTAATCCCAACACTCAGGAGGCAGAGGCAGGCAGATCTCTGTGAGTTCAGACCATCTTGGTCTACTGAGGGAGTACAGGACAGCCAGCTAGGGCAACACAGAAACCCTGTCTTGAAAAACTAAAAAGAAAAGAAAAGATGCAGAGGTATTCTGTCATCATGAAGATTTCCTTCATGTTGCTCCCTTGGTTACATTTCTGTTTCCCCATACTTTACTGCCCTGCTAACAATTGAAAACTGAGACCCTTATACCATGAGTCTTTGCACCTAAGTATATTAGCAGTTACCTCCTTAGAACAATAGGATATTTCTGCACCTAACTCTGACACACTTAGCTTAAAAATGAACACTGATTCCTTCATTGGCCCCAAAATGCTTTGCTACTCTTTTTTTTTTTTTTTTTTTTTTTTTTTTTTTTTTTTTTTTTTGATCCTGGGTCCAGTTGCCTTTAGCAGTTATGTCTCATTAAGAGTTTTGTTTACTTTTGAGACAGGGCTTCTCTACAGAGACCAGGCTGACCTCTGACTCATAGAGATCCACCTGCCTCTGCCTCCTGGATCAAAGGTGTGCACCACTATGCCTACCAGGTCCCACGTTCAGATTTTTTTTTTTTTTTTTTTTTTTTTTTTTTGCATAGGGCATAGAACCCAAGGCATTGAGCATGCTAGACAAGTGCTCTGCCTCAAAGCTGAACCCCATAGTTTTTCTTACTACGACCTCATGAGCAATCCTTTACACATAATAGGTCCAAGTGTAAGCAGTTTGTGAAGCCTTGGTTCTGTGCCTCTGTCTTATCGGGTGACATGATGTCAAGTGGTCCTGCCACTGTGCTGTAAAGACAGCCTTTTTCCTGCCAGCAAGATGGCTTAATGAGTGAAGGTGCCTAAGGACAAGTCTGATGACCTGAGTTCTGTTCCCATGATCCATGTGGTGGCAGGAGGGAAATGGACTCATGCCAGCTGTCTCTGCCTTTTACATGCACTTACATGTATACATGCTATATAAAAAGCAAAGAATTAAAATTTTCTTACTGTGAGGTTACACTTTAGATACTGTGAATATACTGTTCTCACCAAGTTTTTTTTTTTTTTCCCCTCCGTTCCTTTCTTCTTCCTCCCTCCCTCCCTCCCTCCTTCCCTTTCCTTCCTTCCTTTGAGACAAGGTCTCACTATATAGCTCTGGCTGGCCGGGAACTAGCTATGTAGATGTGGATGGCCTCTTTCCGGTTCTCGAGTACTGGGATTAAAGGATTGTGCCACCACATCAGCATCTCCTTAAATACTTATTCAGTACTGCTAATCAACATTATTTATTCTTTAAAAACATTTTTTTTCTTTCTTTTTTTTTTTTTTTGGAGACAGGGTTTCTCTGTGTAGCCCTGGCTATCCTGGAACTTGCTCTGCAGACCAGACTGGCCTCAAACTCACAGAGATCCACCTGCCTCTGCCTCCCAAGTGTTGGAATTAAAGGTGTGGAAAGTGTCTACCACTACCACCCAGCTAATGGTCCTCTTTTTTCCTTACAAACAATTATGTTGTTTTTCTCTACGGGGATGAAGCATGCTTATGCCTTAACATATATATGTGTGTAGGTCACAGGAAAACTTGAGTGAGTTAGTTTTCTTCTACCATGTGGGTCCTGGAATTAACTCAAGTCCTCAGGCTTGACAGCAAGTGCCTTTACCTGTTAGGTCATTTCACTGGCCCATATTTTGCTTGAGAAAGGAGACCTGTGGCTGCCTCTGAGTGTTGGGATTACAGGCATGTGCCATCATGTCTGGTTCTTTGGTCCTCTACTCTTGCTCTGTTACAGAGCTGTAGATTTAAAAAAATCAGCATTTGGATTTGATACTGTCATTTTAAGACACAGTTTCACAAGGTGATTCAGGTTATCCTGGAACTCACTTTGTAGACCAGGCTGGCCCTTAATTCAGAGATCCACCTGCTTCTGCTTCTTGAGTGCTGGGATTAAAGGTGTGCACTACTATGCCTGGCAGAAGCTTTTTAAAATTTAAATTTGTTATTTTGTTTTTCTCTGTATTGGTTTGGAGACTGTCCTGGAACTTGCTCTGTAGACCAGGCTGGCCTCGAACTCACAGAGATCTGCCTGCCTCTGCTTCCCCAGTGCTGAGATTAAAGGTATGTGCCACCAATGTGTGTTTTGTCTTTGTGTATATATTGGTACAACATGTGTGCCTGATCCCTGAAGGAGCCAGAAGAGGGCATCGGATCCTCTGGAGCTGAAGTTACAGATGGCTGTGAGCTGTCTTGTAGGTTCTGGGAACTGAACCTGGTTCCTCTGCAAGAGTGGCAACTATTCTTTGTTTTTTTTTTTGTTTTTTTTTTTTTTTTTTTTTTTTTGTTTGTTTGTTTTTGGTTTTTTTTGTTTTTTTTGAGACAGAGTTTCTCCACATAGCCCTGGCTGTCCTAGAACTCTAAATGTAGACCAGACTGACCTTGAACTCATAGAGATTCATCTGCCTCTGTGTTCTGCCTGCTAGGATTAAAGGCGTGCACCACACCATATCTGGTCAGCAACTGTGGTTAACAACTGAGCCTTCTCTTATCACAGTCCCTTGCCCCATATATTTCCCAAAGGAATCCTGGCATAAAATTAAGTTTATTTAAAAGGGACAATTCTTATCACTTGTCTGTACTGGTCATTCTATATGCTTATTTATTGAGACTGAGCTTCAATATGTAGGCCAGACTAGCCTGGAGCTTGCTGTATAGGCCAGGCTAGCCTGTAACTCACAGAGCTCCATCTGCTTCTGCTTCCTAATGCTGGAATTAAAAGCATGCATCATCATGCCCATCTATAGTCACCTTATCTATCTATCTATCTATCTATCTATCTATCTATCTATCTATCTATCTATCTATTTGAGACAGGGTTTCTCTGTGTAATAGGCCTGGCTGTCCTGGAACTTGCTTTGTGGGCCAGGCTGGTCTTGAACTCACAGAGATCTTCCTGAATGCCAGAATACGAGGTGTGCGCCACCACTGCCCCACTATAGTCACTTTAAAAGTTTGTTTATTTTATGTATATGGATGTTATGTCTACATGTGTGTTTGTATACCACACGTGGCCTAGTATCCTCAGAGGCCAGAAGATAACATCTAATCTCTTGGGACTGGAATTACAGACATCTGTGAACTGCCATGTTGGTGCTAGGAATCAAACCTAGGTCCTCTGGAAGCGCAGCCAGTGAGTGCTCTTAACCGCTGAGCCATCTCTCCAGCCCCCGTTTCATTTTTTTCATAGTAACTTTTTGATTGAAAAAAATCTGTCAATGGCCAAAGTGATACATGCCTTTAATCCTGGCACTCAGGAGATAGAAGCAGGTGTTTCAGTGTGAGTTCAAGGCCAGTCTGGTCTGCACATCTAGTCCCAGGGCAGCCAAGACTACATAGTGAGACCCTGTCCCAAAACAGAAAAAAATGGTTTATCATATGTGTAATGTGGGCGGGATATGCATGTCTACAGTACGTGGATTGGAGGAGCTTTGTGCAATTGGTTCTTTCTTTACACCTTTACATGGTATCTTAGTTAGGGTTTCTATTGCTCTGAAGTGACACCATGACCATAGCAACATTTTTTTTCCCCCTGTTTTTGGTTTTTTGAGACAGAGTTTCTCTATGTAGCTTTGGAGCCTGTCCTGGAACTCGCTCTGTAGACCAGGCTGGCCTTGAACTCACAGAGATCCGCCTGCCTCTGCCTCCTAAGTGCTGGGATTAAAGACATGTGCCACCAGCGCCTGGCCTTACCACATAAACTCTAACAAAGAAAACATTTAATTGAGGTGACTCCCTTATATATAGTATCAAAGGTTCAGTCGTTATCACCAAGGCAGGGGAGCGTGGCGACTGGGAATTTGGCATTGCGCAGGCAGACATGGCACTGGAGAAATAGCTGAGAATTCTACATCATGCAGGAAGTTAACTAAGACACTGGGCAGTTTCTTGACCTCAGAGCCCACCTCCAACTAGGCCACACTTATTCCAACAAAGCCACACCTCCTAATAGTGCCACTGCCTTTGGGGTCATTTTCTTCTTTCTTTCTTTCTTTCTTTCTTTCTTTCTTTCTTTCTTAGATTTATTTATTGTATACACAGTGTTTTACCCACAGGCCAGAAGAGGGCACCAGATTACATTATGGATGGTCGTGAGCCACTATGTAGTTGCTGGGAATTGAACTCAGGTCCTCTGGCCCAGCAGTCCCTGCTCTTAACTGCTGAGCCATCTCTCCAGCCCAGGGCCATTTTCTTCCAAGCCACCACACATGGGTTGAGGATTGAATTCAGGGTGTACAGCTTTGCAACAAGTCCTTGGTGCCTTTCCCATCTTGTCAGCCCTGCACTAGTCATTTTTGACAGTTTGCATAATTAGTATGCATAAATGCATACTAAAATAGAGTGGGGAACAGGATTGGGTTCTGTAGGCCAAGCTATTGCCCCTGAGATAGTGCTGGTTGGTGTTCTTCTTCGTCTTCTTTTTTTTTTTTTTTTGGTTTTTCGAGACAGGGTTTCTCTGTTTAGCTTTGGAGCCTATCCTGGCACTGGAGACCAGGCTGGCCTCGAATTCACAGAGATCCACCTGCCTCTGCCTCCTGAGTGCTGGGATTAAAGGCGTGTACCACCAACGCCTGGCCATGGTTGGTGTTCTTAAGCCTGGCAAGACATGACTCTGTCCTGCGCTTTTTCAAACAAACAAGATTTATAAATGTGACATTGTTTATAAAGCTAGAATAATCTCACCTCCCACAGTGGAACATGTTGGTTTTTGTAGGCATTCAACATGAGGTGTGTTTTGGCCAATAACATGGATCAGAGGCATTCCTGAATTGAACTTGGTTAAAATAAAAAATAGAGTGGAGTTGGGGAGATGGCACAGCAGGTGACAGTGCTTTCTTCTGCAGCCTGGCCACCTGAGTTCAGTCACGGGAGGCAGAAAGACAGACTGACTCTGCAAAGTTGTCCTCTGACCTCCATACACACGCTGTGACTCACATGCATCCCCACCCATAAATCATTCTCAAGCTTAATAAGAATCCATAACTTTGCATCTGCCCCAGGCACCCCAGTTTGAGTTGAAATCATAGCTTGGTACTTGCTTCTGTGTTTTAGAAACTCCAATAGCAAAAACGATCGGAGGAACCGGAAGTTCAAGGAGGCCGAGCGGCTCTTCAGCAAATCCTCAGTCACATCGGCCGCTGTAAGTGGTGGCAGCGGTGGTGAGGAATGTGGACTTTACCTTCCTCACTGTGTGGGTTGGTGTCTTGGGATCTGTGGTCACTTGTGTGGTAACCGGTGGCTTCTCTTTTAGGCAGTAAGTGCCTTGGCAGGAGTTCAGGACCAGCTCATCGAAAAGAGTGAGTTTGCTTTTACCTTCTTTATCAGTTTATTTTAAAGCAACCATAGGCCCTAAGTTAACTCTGGTTTGCCCAGTTGAGTACCTAAGGACTGCATCTTCTATGGTTTTCTCTTGCTTCTGGAAGGCCTTTGAGCATCTTCCCAAAGTCTTTTTGTTTTGTTTTGGAGGTGGGGGTCTTGCTGTATCATCTGTTTGACTGTGTAGATCATACTTGTCCAGTCAGACACACACCTGCCTCTGCCTCCCACTTGCTGTGATTAAAGGCCTGTGCCACCATGCCATCTATATTCAAGGAAGAACCTACTGGCCTCCTGCCACTTTTTTTCCCATGAAGCTGGGCTGGAGATACCAAAAGACACCAAGCTCTGACACTGCTACAGTAGGGCTTAATTAAATTCCTAGGAATTTTGTTTGTGTTTTGAGAATAGTCTGTGCTGACCTGGAACTTGCTAATAACTGAGACTGGCCTCAACTTCCTGACCCTCCTACTGGGTGCTGGGATCATAGGCATGTGTCATCATCCGATGGGAGAACTTTTTCAATAATAAGTCATTTAGGTCTGAAGTGGTTAAGAGTGCCTACTGACCTTGCAGAAGACTGGGGTTTGCTTCCTAGCACTGATCCGGTGACTCACAACAGTTGTAACTCCAGTCCCAGGGGATTGGTTACCTTCTTCCGGCCTGTGAGGGCACCTGTATGCATGTGGTGTACATAAACTCCAGCAGGCACACACACGTAAATAAGAATAACAAACAAAATACCCATATGGCTGGATGTGGTGGCTTACACCTTAAACCCAGCACTTGGCAGGTAGATTCAGGCTGATCTCCTGAGTTTAAGGCTAGCCAGGGCTACACAGTGAGATCCTGTCTTAGTTACTTGTCTATTGCTATGGCAAGCCACTGTAAGCAAAGCAAAACTTCTACAAGAAAGTTTATTTGGGGCTTGCATTTTCAGAGGGTTTGAGTCCATGACTGTCATGGTGGGGAACATGGCCGTGGGTGGGCAGCATGGTGCTAGAGCAGTAGCTGAGAGCTCACATCTTGAGACATAACCACAGTCAGAGAGAGAAATAGAGAGAGAGAGAGAGAGAGAGAGAGAGACAGACAGACAGACAGACACACATACAGACTCACACTAGGGATTGGAGGTAGAGAGAAACATTGGGAATGGCTTCTGAACCCTCAAAACCATACATCCCCTCCAACAAGGCCTCAGCTCCTAATCCTTCCCAAACAGTTCTACCAACTGGGAACCAAATGTTCACATATGTGAGCCTATGGGGGCCATTGTTATTCAAACTACCACAGACCTTAGCTCAAAACAGAGTTAACAGCGAATAATTTAATAGGAAATTTCAAGTGTACCAGATAAATCCTTAATGCTCAACTTAGGAAACTCTAAGAGTGTATCTGTACATTCTTAAATATAGAAGGGAGGTAGATACTGTTTCCTCACACAGGTCGTTTCTGTGTGGAAGCCAGGTCTAATTTAAAAAACAGCTGGCATTTGTGTAGCTGCGGGGCATTTTCAGTGCTCTGTCCTGTTATAGAATTAGAGCCCTGCTTTGGAGCAGGGATTTGAGGAAAGGGGATTTTGGTAGCTTGGACCTGAGAGTTACTCAGTGACTTCAGTTTCTGTCCCAGCCAGACTCCTGTGCCTTAGTGCTGCCTATCCCAGAGTCAGTTCCACTCAGAGTCACATTCCAACTTTTGTCCATACAGAATTGTTCTATGCCCCTCAGTTTTCCAACTTTTGTCCATACAGAATTGTTCTATGTCCTTCAGATGTTTTCCGTCCAACTTGGTGTTATGTTACGTCCTTCCCCTTCCCAGAACCCTGCCCAGTGAAGTTGGGTGCCTGTCTGTGTTATGTTGTATCCTTCCCCTTCCCAGAACTCTGCACAATGTCTCGGTGCCTGTCTACCTCATCAGATGCTACAAATTCTTTAAATTTGAGACAGGTTCTCGCTGTGTAGTTTAGGCTAGCCTTGGACTTAGGTATTAAAGATTTTCTAAAGTGTATACTGACCAGCTGTTCTTTGAAAGCTACCCAGCATGGAGCCACCTGCTCATGGCTGGTTTGACTATGTGTCAGGTTAGTTTTGACTGAATATGTATGTATGTATATATGTGTACACACACACACACACACACACACGCACGCACGCACGCACGCACGCACGCACGCAGAGTTTGGTCTTGTAAAACATTTTTATTTTATGTGTGTATAAGCGTGGTTTGTTTTTTGTTTTTTGTTGTTTTTTGAGACAGTGTTTCTCTGTGTTCCTTTGGAGGTTGTCTTGGAACTCGCTTTGTAGACCAGGCTGGCCTGGAACTCACAGAGATCCACCTGCCTCTGCCTCCCGAGTGCTGGGATTAAAGGCGTGCACCACCAGTGCCTGGCTGTGCATAAGCGTTTTTTTTTTTTCCCCTGCATATATGTATATGCATCACATGTGTGTCTGATGCCTGCAAAATGCAGAAGAATGCATTGGATCCCCTGGATGTGAGCCACTAATGACTGTGACCTACCATGTGGTGCTAGGAACAAAACTCTGGTCCTCTGGAAGAGCAGCCAGTGCTCTTTTCCACGGAGCATCTCTCCAGCCGTTGTCCTTGTGTTTCCCAAGAGGATGTTGGAAATACTTTCCATCACGGCTGACTGTCAGCCTCCTTCAGGACTGGTTTTCCCTCAACAAGTAGTTGTTTTGGTTTTTTGAGTCACCATCTCATTACGTAGCCTTGGCTGGCCTGGAACTCAGAGACCCTCCTGCCTCTGCCTCCCAAATGCTGGGAGTTCTGGGATCAGATGTGTGCTGACTTGTGGCTTTATTTTTAGTTATTATGATGTGGGGGCAAAGTAACACAGCTTGACAGAACTAAGCAAATGTAACATAGAAGAATGCAGCACATCCTCTGTGCACCACTAAACAAATGTTCCACAGCATAAAATAATGTAACATGTCTTTAACTAACGTTTCACAACATAGCACTTTGTTACTGAGTTATTTACAGCAATGTGCTCAGTCATTGCTCACCCCCTGAGTTAGTGGTAGGATTATTCACGTGACCTCGGGCAGCTTACCAGTGGCCACGCCACTGAAGAAAATGTCCTTGACATCCATTATGTGCTTATAGATGAGGGAGCGCTGGGGACTTGTGAGTAGTCAGATCCGTGAGGACGTATTGACAGGCTCAGTCTTGCCCAAAAGTCAGAGCTGCTGTGAGTCTTGAGTTCAGGGCCATGTTATGCCCAGAAGGCAGGGCTTCCTGTCGCCTTGACCCTTCCTCCTGTAAGAACATTCTTCCTGCCATGTTCCTTGAACCTTTGGAGGGAGCGATGCAGATGTCCCAGTTAGGGCTGAGTGTTCAGTGGTCACTCGTTCTCAGCACTTTGGTCGACCAGTTGTGAGTCACTGCCCACCGCAAAAGGGCTTCACTGACCAAGGCTGACAGCAGCACCAGTTTACGGGAGTGAATATAAACATCTAGAAGGTAGTTTCCCAGGTCCATTAGCAAATCCACAGCCATGGCCTTTCTACAGGGACCTGTGTCCTCCCCCACCACAGGCTTTTGACCAGGGTTACAGTGGCTCCTATGGAGTGGGCATCATACCCAGCCAGTGAATGTTTGATTATGCCCTTGACACTCATGCCATTTTTGTGCTGGTAGACCCTTGCCTAGCATGTTGGTAGTGTTCCATACAAGGTCCATAGCTGAGTAAGACTGCCGATGACGTCTTCCGCCAGCAGCCAGCATAGGACCTTACGGTATTGTGGGACCTAGTCAAGAGGGAGAGAGCTTTTCCCTTGTTCTGTAACCAGAACCTGTGGTGTTTCAATGTTTTTAACAGATTTTTTAAAAATATTATTTTATATTTGAGACAGGGTCTTACTATGTAGCCCAGGCTGTCCTAAGTACTGGGAGTGTAGGTTTAAACTACCTTGCCCTTCTAAAAAATTTATTTTTTTTCCTTTTTCTTTTCTCTCTCTCTTAAGACATGGTCTTTCTATGTAGCCCTGGATAGGTGGAGCTCATTATGTAGACCAGGCTGGCCTCAAACTCTTAGGGGTCCTTTTGCCTCTGCCTCCCAAGTGCTGGGAATCAAAGGTCTGTGCCGCTGTACCTGGCTCATCTTTTTCTTTTTTCTTTGCAGATTTTTTTTTTTTTTTTTTTTTTTTTTTTTTTTTTTTTTTTTTTGGTTTTTCGAGACAGGGTTTCTCTGTGTAGCTTTGGAGCCTATCCTGGCACTCACTCTGGAGACCAGGCTGGCCTCGAACTCACAGAGATCCTCCCGAGTGCTGGGATTAAAGGAGTGTGCCACCACCGCCTGGCTAAAAAATCCCCTCTTGAAATTCATTATTTCTGCTTCCTTTGGCTTTGTGTATTTATTTGCCCAACAAGAAAGAGGGTGGATTTGCATAGCCCCTAAAGAGGACTTTTGTGTAAGTTGTGAAGCAACAGACATTTCAGTGAAAAGAATATAGTAAAAGAAAAAGCAAGCAGGATTTTCACCTCGCCTTGGCAGGGGAGCAGGCGCCACTGCGTGTGCCAAAGCTTCCTGCTCCTGGGCTCAGTGCTGTAGAGCTTCCCCTCCTCCTGGAAACCTGCCCTCGGTTGCCATCCTCTTCTTTAGTGTGTAGACTTCCTCATCTTGCTCTGGAGATGCGCTGCTCACTTTCCTGTCAGTGAGAAACAAGCTCTTGTGTCCTCCTCAGTGCAGCGCTGTCAGTGGGATGTTGACAGTCCTTGGGCTTCCGTGAGCTGAGGAAGGGCATTCTTGTTTGTATTTTAATAGCATCTAGTCCCCGTGGTTCCTTGTCTGGCATGTCTCATCAACAGACTAGTAATTCTACAACAAGTCTTGGTTGGAAACTGAAGTTCTGTGGTAGAGCATTTTCCTAGCATGTGTGAGGTCTAGAGTTTGATCCCCAGCACTGCACACCAACAACTGTTAGAGTCCTGTGCAGAAAGTTCTTGCATGTGCCTGTATCTTTTATTATGTGTGTGTGTGTGTATCTCTTTTTAATTTTACTTATTTTTATTTTGTGTGCATTGGTACTTTGCTATGGGTGTTAGGTCCCCTGGAACTGGAGTTACAAACAGTTGTGAGCTGCCATATGGGTGCTGGAAATTGAACCCAGGTCCTCTGGAAGAGCAGTCAGTGCTCATAACCACTGAACCATCTCTCCAGTCCATATGTGGAGTAGTGGGTAGGGGTAGGGGTCTCCATAAGTATGTTGCCCCTGGAGGCCAAAAGAGGGTACTGGATTCTCTGGAGCTGGAGTTAAATGTGATTGTTGAGCCCTGACATAGGTGCTAAGAACTCAACCTCTACAAGACAAGTACTGGCTTTTAACTGCTGAGTGGTCTCCAGCCCAGGTGAGCACTTGTGCCTGTATCTTCAGGGCTTCTCCCCAAGCACTTTCAAAGCCTCCAGTCTTATGTGAACAGCTGTGATCTGATGACTTGGTGTCTGTTGTGTGAGAGATGCAGATCTAGCTTCATTCTCCTGCATGTGCTCCAGAGGCTGTTCTCCAGTGTGTGCAGTTGATGGTGTTGTCAGAGTGGCCTGAGATTGTGTGGGCCTTCTTCTAGGTCTTCTAGTCCATGGGTCTACATATCCGTTTCTGCCAGTACCAAGCTGTATTTGTTACTATGGCTTTATAATACAAGTTGAGACAGGTACCTCCAGCATTGTTTTTTTTGTTTTTTGTTTTTAAGATTTATTTATTATGTATACAGTGTTCTGCCTGCATGTCTGCTTTCATGACAGAAGAGGGCACCAGATCTCATTACAGATGGTTGTGAGCCACCATGTAGTTGCTGAGAATTGAACTCAGGACCTCTGGAAGAGCAGCCAGTGCCCTTAACCCCTGAGCCATCTCTCCAGCCCCCAGCATTGTTCTTCTTGCTGAAGAATGCTGTAGCTATTTGGGGCCTTTTGTACTAATATATGGATGTTAGGATTTTTTTTTTTTTTTTTAATAATTCTGTGAAGAATATCCAGGATTTTGATGGGGTTGCATTGAGTTTGCAGATTGTTTTTGGTAATAATTACACATTAGTCTTCATGAATTCTTCCTGTCTATTTATTTCTTCAATAGCTTAAAGGTTTCTTGTTTGTTTTTATTTTTTGAGATGGAAGGGTTTTACTGTGTCTCTGACTTGTCTGGAACTCTATCTACATAGATCTGGATAGAATTGATTAGGGAGATCCGCCTGTCCTGCCTCCTCACTGCTGGGATTAAAGGCGTGCACCACCACTACCAGCAAAGTGTTTTAAAGTTTCAGTTGTAGGCATCTTTCAGATCCTAGGCTAGGTTTGTTTATTCAATTAATTTTTTTATTTTTTATTTTTTTGACAGGGTTTCTCTTTCATAGCCCTGGCTGTCCTGGAACTTGCTCTGTAGACCAGGCTGGCCTCAAACTCACAGAGACCACCTGCCTATGACTCCCGAGTGCTTTGATTAAAGATAGGAGCCACCACTGTCCAGCTGCATTTTATCTTTTTAAAAAACTTACGGTTTATTTGTATTTTATATGTATAGGTATTTTGTCTATATGTATGTGCACCGCATGCACACACCTCAGGTACTCTGGAACTGGAGTTAGGGATGGTTGTGAGCTGCCATGTAGGTGCTGGGGACCAAACCCAGGTCCTCGGAAAGTGCAGCCAGTGCTCTTCAGTGCTGAGCCATCTCCAGCCCGTTTCATCCTTCTGAAATGAGGTCTTGCTGTGTTGCTCAGGCTGGTCTTGCACAAACAGAACTTCTCTCTGCTTGAATTGTCTCATTAACCTTGTCAGGGATCAGCTGACCTTAACATTAGGCTTTGTGCCAGACTGAACTCTGTTGCTTTGATCTGTTCATCCTTATACCACAAGCAGCGAGCGTAATGTGGATTACTGTAGCTTTGTGGGCGTACATTTCAAAGTCTTTTAGTCTTTTTATTGGTTCATCTGTTTTGAGACAGGGTCCTGTTCTGTAATCCAGGCTGGCCTTGAATTCATATCTTTCTTTCCTAGCCTCCTGAGTGGTGTGATTACAGGTGTGTGCCAACACTCGGCTTTTTTTTTGGTAAATTTTATGTGAAATCAGATGCTTTTCTGGTCCTGTGCAGCTCCTTGGCTCTGGAGCTCCCTCTCATGGCGCTCTCCTGCATTGTGTTCAAATTAGTTCTGTCGTTTCTGAGATCTGGCCTTTTCTTTGCTTTCTTGGGGGTGGTGGGTGTGTGTTGGGGAAGTGTTCCATGGCATGCATTGAACAGTTTTGAGAGTTGATTCTCTTTCTTCCATAGGCTTTAGGGATCAATCACAGGTTGTCAGGCCTGCACAAGAAATCTGCTAAGCTATCTTGCTGGGCTCTTCTGCTTTAAGAAAAAAAATTCTTATAATGTGTTTTTGAGATAAGAACTCCTATGTAGTTCAGGCTGGCTTTGAACTCATGATCTTCCTCGAGCTTCCTAGCTCTGGGATTACAGGTATATGCACACATTTCTGTTTTACTTTTTTTTTTTTAATTATTTCATTTTATGTGCATTGGTGTTTTGCCATGGTTGCTGGGTCCCCTGGAACTGGAATTACAGACAATTGTAAGCTGCCATGTGGGTGCTGGGAATTGAACCCAGGTCCTCTGGAAGAGCAGCCAGTGCTCTTAACCACTGAGCCATCTCTCCAGCCTCCTGCTTTTTACTTTTAGACAGGGTCTTCCTGTGTAACCCCGACTGACCTAGAACTTGGTGTGTAGACCAGGCTGGCCTTGAACTTGGTGGCAATCCTCCAGTTTCAACCTCCCAACTTCTGCTTTTTTGAGCCTATACTTAATCCTAAAAAAAAAAAAAATCATAAAGACAGAAAGGAAAACACTGACCCCTGACCCTGATGCTGACACAGACATTTCTGACCATTTTCAGGGGCAGATACTTTCGTATTTAGGGTTCACTAGTAGTTAGCAGAATGCAGTTCTCTCCCTGTCCCTGTCTAGTGACAGTTTTTAGAAGTTGGACTTGGTATTGCACAGCTGTAATGCCAGCACTGGGAAGGCAGAGACGATGCTGGGCCCAGGACAGCATGGAACTCACTGTAGCCCAGGTTGGTCATGGGCTTGGGCAGTCTCCTGCGTTTTTCTTTAAAAACAGGTTTTTGTTTTTTTGGTTTTTCAAGACAGGGCTTCTCTGTATAGCCCTGGCTGTCCTGGAACTCGCCCTTTAGACTAGGCTGGCCTCTGAAATCACAGAGATCCGCTTGCCTCTGCCTCCTGAGTGCTAGAATTAAAGGTGTGTGCCACTACTGCCTGGCTTCTAAGTGGGTTGTGTGTGTGTGTGTGTGTGGTTTTGACACATGATCTATCTCTCTGTCTCTGTCTCTGTCTCTCTCTCACATTTATTATGTATACAGTATTCTGCCTGCACACTAGAAGAGGGCATCATTTCTCATTATAGATTGGTTGTGAGCCACCATGTGGTTGCTGGAAATTGAACTCAGGATTTCTGGAAGAGCAGCCAGAGCTTTTAACCTCTGAGCCATCTCTCCAGCCCCAACACAGGATCTCTTAGCCCATGCTGGCCTTGAACTTGAGATTTCTTGTCTCACTTTCCCTAGTGCTGGGATTATAGATATTTGCCACCACACCTGCTCTTTTTTTTTTTTTTTTTTTATTTCTCTCATTATTACATCCTGACTGCAGTTTTCCCCTCTTCTCTTCACCCAGTCTCTCTCCCCCAGACCCTGTCCTCTTCTGTCTCCCTTCAGAAAAAGGGCAGGCCTCCCAAAGGATGTCAACTCAATATGGCATATCAAGTTACATTAGGACTAGGCACCTCCCTTCAGTAAGCTGGACAAGACAACCCAGGAGGAGGAAAAGGGTCTGAAAAGCAGGCAAAAAGAGTCAGAGACAGTACCGCTCCCACTTTTAGGAATCCCACAAGAATACCAGGCTACACAACCATAACATATATGCAGAGGGCCTAGGTCAGACCCATGCAGCCTCCCATTGTTGGCCCAGTCTCTGGGAGCTTCTGGAAGCCCTAGTTAGTTGATTCTGTGGGTTTCCTTGTGGTGTCTGTCCTTGAACCCTCTGGCTCCTACAATCCTTCATCCCCCTTTTCCACAGGATTCCCCAAGTGGGTACCTTTTCTCTACTAACTATCTATTGATTTATTTATTTTTAAGTTTTATTTTATGTGCATTGGTGTGAAGATGTCAGGTTCCCTGGAATTGGAGATACAGACAGTTATGAGCTGTCATGTGGATACTGGGAATTGAACCCAGGTCCTCTGGAAGAGCTGTCAGTGCTCTTAACCGCAGAGCCATCTCTCCAGCCCTGTTATTTATTTATTATTTTTAATTATATTCATATGTCTGTATGAGGTATGTTCATGTGAGTGCTGTGGGCACCCAAGGAGAGGTGCCGGCTATCCTAGAGCTGAAGTTTTAGGCGGTGAGCCTCAAAGTGAATTCTGGGAATTAGTCTCAGGTCTTCTGAAGAGCAATACATGCTTTTAACCTTGGAATAATTTCTCTAGCTCTCCCCACACCCCATAACGCTTTGCAGAGAAACAGGATTCTCTGCTGGTTTGTCAGTTTTGCCAGGGTCATCAACCCTTATCCTCTGGATGTAAGTCTTCCTCTCTTGTGTGTACTCTTTGTTACATAGCCCTTATGTAGTAGGGTGGTGCTTATGTTGCCATCTGGTTTGTCTTCAGCACTGTCGTCCGGTTACACTGTTGCAGATTGCATGGTTTCCAGGAACTCCCTAGCTTTGATACTTTGAATGTCCATCCCCTGTCAGCTTGTATCTTCTCTGTCACATGGCCTGTGGGCTCACAAGCAGACATTTGCTGCTTACAAGAATTTGGGGAATACTGATCAGGCTTTGGAACCTATTTTCTTTCCTCTAGGGGAACCAGGAAGTGGGACAGAAAGCGATACTTCTCCTGACTTCCACAATCAGGAGAACGAGCCTGCCCAGGAGGACCCCGAGGACCTGGACGGTTCCGTTCAGGGAGTGAAGCCCCAGAAGGCTGCCTCCTCTACCTCCTCAGGGAGTCACCACAGCAGCCACAAAAAAAGGAAGAATAAAAACCGACACAGGTTAGTGGCAAGGTCCCACCCAGTCCCAGAGTTCTCATGACTACTGGGAGGGACTTGGTTGGAATGAAAGTGCCTGGGACAGTGGCAGAGCCCTCATGCTTCGGGTGGCAGAAATCTTCTGGTGCTAGTCCAGTGGGCTGGTGTTCTCTGAGGGAGGAGTGGGTGGCAATAGAGAGGCCCCGCAGGATCAATGGGAGCCACCACGATGGACTGTGACTCCTGAGCATTGGGTCCTTGCTAAGAGGAAAGTGGAACTAGAAAGACTCTGGTTATTGGGAAGCTGTGACCTGGGATGGAGGTTCTTTGAGTCCTGGGCCCCGTCTGCTCCTATGAGAGCTGAGTTGCCATGCCTTCCTTGACTTTTTAAATATGGGTTTGGTTTTGATTGTTATGACTTTTCTATTTTGTAGTTCTCTGAGTATGCTGCCTTCAGATACGGGGAAACACTTAAAGCTCCTAAATGCGAGCATTCCTTCGTAGGAACCACCTGAGCACTGCTACTTTTGCAGTGGGAAATGAGATGGGGATGACACCAGTGCACAGAGAGGTCAGGTGTCTCAGGGGGTTTAGTGGTCACTCTGCCTGGGTTTGTATGCTGATGCTGGGCCTTAGCTCAGAGGGTGATGAGTCTGCAGGGCAAGGGGCTCTCCCTCATCCTGGTCTTGGAAGCCTGAACACTTTGGGGGTGAAAGGGGTGTGCAGGGCTAAGGAATTGCATTGCATTAGAAAACTTCGGGGTGTCCCTTCCTGCACCTAAGGTGTTCCACTGTGAACTTCATAGACGTGGCACTGTGGCTAATATAGAATTAAATTTAACTGGTTTCAACCTCTTTAGTTTTTAAGTTTTTCTTGTTTTTTAAATTGCAGAAATAGTGTTTCCTCCAAATAAATAGTGCTGAAGGACCACCGCTTTACTGTTTTCTGCAAACCAAAAACCACTGTGCTAATCTCAAAGTATAGTAAGAAACAGCAAAGAATTGTCCCCTACCATCTTGGTAAGGATGTAGGTTGTTGGAGCATTGCGGTAGGCTTGGGGCTACCTTATCACAAACAATAGAGACCCATACTCTTTTTAAAGAGTATTTTGTGGGCTGGGAAGATGGCTCAGTTTGTAAAGTGCTTGCTCTGCAGGCTTGAGGACCTGAGTTCTAATCCCAGCACCCACATCAAAGCACTCAGTGCATTGTATGTGTCTGTAAACCCAGCATTGGGGACATTGATATCCTGGGGGCTTGCTGGCCAGCCAGTCTAATAGAAGTGATGGGACCCTTTCTCAAAGACTACATGGAGAAACACCCAGCATTGACCTCTGACCTCCATATGCACACACATATATACTACATACACACAAATTGGCAAGATAATTCAATATTTTCTTCTGTGTTGTTTTTATTACATTTAGTTTCTTGTCATTTTGGGGATTCTTTTCCTATTTCAGAGTGTCTAGAGCAGGGAGACCATTCTTGAAAGTCCCTGGGACTCTGCACCACTGACCAGTGTCCTCTCTAGATCCTGCTGGTTTCGTGTAACACCTCATTTGCACTAGCGATGTGGGCAGCTCTTGACTGGTGAAAGGCGCTAGAGAAGTGTTCCCTTTAACTGTCCTTGCAGGGTTCTAGAACATCTCCATGGAAATAACAGTTCTTTCTTATCCCTCCCTTTTCCTGGCCCCAGGAATGAATCCCTTCCAGAAACACACTAGCGCTTAGAAAGACAGTTCTTGGGGACTGATCTCCTAAGGGGCAAGTCTGGCTTAGAAGGTGGACTGGGTTTTTAGCTCCAGAATTCCTGCCTCAGTGGTGGCCTCCCAGGGCCTGGTGTGCTCATCGGCCCCCAGAAAGGCTTGTGGCACACGTTGCTTTGTTTCTTAGGAAGCTGACCCCAGCTTCCTAAGTGGTGTCTCAGTGGGCTAAGGCTGTTGCAGTCCTCTTTGCTACCTTTGTACACTCAAGGGCAGGGGTGGAGCACATTATTCATACACGCTGGTGAGCTGGCACCCAGAGCAGCGCTTCCTTCTCCACTGTGCGGTGGCCCCTGTAAGTCAGGCCACGGTGACAAGATGTCCAAGGACTTGCCACATGCCCCCATTTGAGGAGAAGCAGGAAGTAGTCGAACTTACCATTTACCCCCCCCCCCCCCAGGAGGGGGGATGGAACACAAAGCTTCAACTGTGCTAGTCAAATGAAAATCGCCAGTTTTCTAAATTCTTATATTTTACATATCTGAACAACAGTTAAGTCCCACTGTCTTTAAAGAGAAAAAAGTAAATACTAGCTGCTCTTAGAGGTTTTTACTATTACATCATACCCAAGATTTGTTTTTGTAAATCATTGCTTGTTGCTTTTTAAGACAGGGTTTTATTATGTAGCTCTGGCTGGCCTCAGACTAATGTCTTCTGCCTTAGCCTTCCGAAAGCTGGGATTGTCAGGGATTACCGTGCCTGCCACCAAACCCAAGTTTGGCTAAATAGGTATACTTTTAATTTGTGGTATGTATTTATTTCCATCACTAGGTATTGAACCCAGCATGTACCTACCAGTAAGCCACACCACCACCTGATACCACCTGTTTTCATTTGTGAAAGTTGAATCAGTTTGAGAGGAAAATGTTTTAAAAGTCCTGCTTGTGCACTGGTGTGTGTGGCCAGGAAGGTCCTAAATGAAACAGTTTTGTAAATGGTGCTGAAATTCAGCTCTCATGTGACTCTCACAAACGTGGTCTAACAGCACAGTCAATTCGAATATCATCTTCCTACCTGTCTACAGTCTAAAGGTGTCAAAGCCAGCGAGGAGCTGGAGTCAGATTCCAGGCTGATGCTTGCTGTGGAGATCTGTGCAGACCGTGGCCTATCAGCGATGACCTTACAGAATGGCCTCCTCTGCTGTATGCTCATGGATCCCAGTTGCCTTGGTTTTGCTGGGGGGCTCTGCAGACCCCGGTATTCCTTAGTTGCTGCACTGATGGCCATACTAGAGGCAAGGTATCACATGCCTGCAGTCACAATTCCTGGAGGCTGAGGCAGGAGGACAGCAGGTTTGAGGCCAGTGTGAGCTATATTTTGAGACCCTCCCCCATCTCATTAAAAAAACAAATAAAACAACAACAGCAACAACAACAAAAACCCAACAATAAAAACGAAAAGCCAGTGGGGGTGCGGTCACCAATTTGGGAGGCAGAGTTGGTTGTGAAAGTAGGACCTTCACTGAGGTTCATGCATGTGGTCAGCAGATGGCTTCCAGGTGGGACCCTGCAGCAGGAGCTGGTGGCACTGGACATGTTTAGAACATGAACTTGAACAAAAAGTTACATATTTTGCTGTTTTCAAAGTGCAAAGTGTTTTGTCACCATTTGTTTTAATGACAATATGTTATGCTTACTTCTAGCACCTCTGCTGAATGACTTAGCCTCTCCCCCTCTCTGATCCCTCTCTCCCCCTCTCTCCCTCCTTCCCCCAACCCACTTCTAATGCCCTAATTCTGTTTTCACTACAGACATCTTAGCAGTTCTAACCCTGAGTCTGGCAGCTAACACTAGGGCTGTGGCTGGCTGAGTGCTCTAATGCTGTCACTTGCCCTCCCGCAGCCCGCCCTCTGCTCTGGTCTCCCTCCTGCAGCCCGCCCTCTGCTCTGTTCTCCCTCCAGCTCTCTGCTCTGTTCTCCCTCCTGTAGTCCGCTCTCTGCTCTGGTCTACCCTGCGGGAAGGGAATCAATCCCCTGACCACACAGTCTTTGGTGCTTTGATGTTTGAAACCTTATGGCTTAAAAATCCTTAAAGCTGACTTTGTTTCCACAAATCTTGCTAGGATGGCTAATCGACTAATTTATTCAATTAGTATATTAATTTCTGTTGCTTTCTTCCTCTCCAATGCTGCTCCTCAGCCCGTCTGGCATGTTTGATTATGACTTTGAGTAAGTTTGATTTGCATTAGTGTCTGTGCTGTGTTGTTTAGTGTGTAGACCTGGGATGCCGTTCTGAGATCTCTCTAACCCATAGTTTGTCTGTTTGATTGTAGGTATGTATATTAGGTTAGGCTGGGAAGTTTTTTTTAAAAACAGAAAAACGTGATGGAGGTAACATTTTATTTAATAACTTAAGCAAAATTAAGTAAACTTCACTTACGCATTTTAATTTCTTTTTAAATAGATAATCTGTACTTTTAATTTTATTTAAATTGATTTTCTGGCTTTGCTTCATTAAGGAGACTAGTAGCTTAAGATTTTGATATTTTGCTTTGAAAAGATTTAAAAATTGAAATTCTTGTAATTTCTTTTGTGTTTCATATCCAGAAACACAAACTCCTAGTCTGTTTGCTGTTGGTCACTGCGTGTCTCAGAACTTGTCAGTGACGTAGTTACAGAGCTAACACATTGACCTGAGCATGCCCTCTTAATCCAGTTTCTCTAATTTTGCAATAGTTTTTACTTTAAAATTATGGCTTTTGTAACTGCTATGTATTTCCTTTTTGAGTCACCTCAGTTTGCCTTATGGCAAAAGTATCTGCTCATATTTTTTTTAATACTTGCTTACTATCTGAGGAAACAGCTAAATTATGACCTAGTCTAATGAAGAATGTGGACTTTAATTGAATAGCCTTTGTAGCTGTGCCCTATGCACTAGCTGCTTGTTGCCCTGTTTCTGAGGTTAAAGTGCAAATCTCTTTCATTTTCCCCACCACAGGATTGATCTGAAGTTAAACAAAAAGCCCCGAGCTGTAAGTATCGGCCAGGCAACTCAAAGACTGGCAATGTTTTGTTTTGTTTTGTTTTGTTTTGTTTTCATTGGTTTTGGTGGCTCTAACAGGGCTCACCCGTGCTAGACAAGGGCCCACTTAGGGGCTGATGAGCATGTAGGTGATTTTGGTTTTCACAGTCTGAATGTCCCTAATCTAGGGTCACATTCTGGTTTCTAGACTCTTGAGTATCCTTCTGGATACTCCAGCTTCCGAGTGTTCTTTGCTAAAATGTTTTAGAACAGATGTGGTGGCCTTTAATCCCAGCACTCAGAAATTACTATGTATACAACATTCTGCTTCCATGCATATCTGCACACCAGAAGAGGGTACCAGATCTCATAACGGATGGTTGTGAGCCATCATGTGGTTGCTGGGAATTGAACTCAGGACCTCTGGAAGAGCAGTCAGTGTTCTTAACCTCTGAGCCATCTCTCCAGCCCGTTCTTTAGTTTTTTTGCGGGTGAGCTAGTGAGCAGAGTTGAAATTGCCATTGATGGCATTTTAGAACTTGAAGGTGGGGTCACTACACTTGTGAAATGCAGTGTATTATTATGCCTGAAATAGAACTTTTAGCTACTCAGAAATTTCCCTAGCCCAGTTTATGATATTCTTTTAAATGTTAATTCTATTTATAGGGTTACATTAAGGTCATTTTCACCCAACTGTGTAATGTTCCTCGAGCATATTCCCTCCTAGTATTGCATGTATGTATGTATGTATGTATGTATGTATGTATGTATGTATGTATGTTTTTATGTATGTACATATATACATATTTGCTCAAACCAGGCTATGAGTATGTTGTGACTTCTGTTTCTCTCTCTTTAGGACTATTAGAAGACTTGTTAGCAGCAGCTTCCGGCTGTGGAGCCCTGCTTCCCCTCTGACCTCACAGCGACAAATGTCCCTCACCTGACTGTGACCATCCACCTCTGCTTCCCCAGACCCAGTGCCTGTAACTGGCTAGTCTGTCCTAACTGTAGTGACGAATCCTTTCTATAAGACTGGGTCATTCGCTGTTGTCATCATTAGTAGCAGAACAGCGGGAAGATGTGTGGTTGGTCCCAGTCCCCGCGGGTGGCTAACTGTGCATTTCTCCCTTCTTAGAATGAATGTCTCCCCCCAAACTGGCTGGCACCAGCTCCATCTGTGATTGTCCCCCCATCGAGAAGTGCACATCTCTGGTTTTGTGTTATGCTGAAAGTAGAACCCAAGTTCCATTGCAGATGGAGGCTGTAAATATCTGCCATTCTTTTGTTTTGTTTTGTGTTGTATTATTTTTTTATTGTTGTTTTTACCATCTGGTTTTCTTTTGGGACATTTTGTGATGCCTGTACCCTTCCTGATGACACATCTGATCGTCTGTTTCATGTGTCAGCATTCATTACTGAAAACTAAAGTGGCTTTCTAGAACTGAATGGGCAACGTGGCTCTTTGGCTTTTTGATTTCTGAGGGTGTTTAATAATGGCCTGTTGAAGTAGTCTCATGTTCAAGGAACAAGAACGCTGAAAAACATGCATCATATTCTTAGAACAGACACTTTGATTCCTTTGTAGAAATAAAATTTCCTTGCCTTCCATTTCTCATGCTTTCCTTCTAAGCCTGAGATTTTCTTTTCTATCTTCCTTCCCTCCCTCCCTTCCTCTCTCTCCCTCCTTCCCTCCCCTCTATCTCCCCTCTCTCCCCCTCCCTTTCCTCTCAGACTGGCTTTGAAGCCTGTCCTGGAACTTGCTTTGTAGACCAGGCTGGCCTCGAACTCCAAGAAATCAACCTGCCTCTGCCTCCTGAGTGCTGGGATTCAAGCCATGTGCCACCATTACCTGGCCCCCATCTTTTCTCTTTTTGCTGACATTTACCTGGTTAGATATTGCTTCAAAAATCACCAAGCCAGTGGAAAGGCCCAGAATTACTGAAAGTCAGCTTCCATGGAGGGGAGTGAGAGCCTTACGAGAGCCAGCACTGCCTACAGACAGCCCTTCCTGCAGAGCTTAGTCCCTGCTCATGTCCTTGGCATTTTCAGTACAGTGACCTTGGCTGAACATTTCAGTCACCTGGGAAGCTCAACCTAATGCCGATGCTGGGATCCTAACCCCAAGACTCTAGGGTATGCCTCTGTGTTGGGGTTCTGCTTGAGGCCATTGTGTTAAAAACTGAACGGTATAGCCTGGGTCAGGCTGAGGGGTAAGATTCAGAGCCTTGCCTGTCCCCTGACTATCTATTCACAGTCCTTTCTGATGCCTGGGCCTTTGTAGGAGACTTGGGCCATCCTAGCCATGCTGCTGGGCTGAGCATAAATAGCGTATTAGCAGAACCACCGTCTGATGTGCAGAAGTCTTTTGTTCTTGTTTGTTTGTTTGTTTGTTTTTATTTTTCAAGACGGGGTTTCTCTGTAGCTTTGGAGCCTGTTCTGGAACTCACTCTGTAGACCTGGCTGGCCTCAAACTCAGAGATGTGCCTGCCTCTGCCTCCTGAGTGCTGGGATTAAGAGTAGACCACCACCACCCAGTTTCTTTTGTTCTTAAACTCCCATTTCCTTTGAGGATTTCCCAATCTTTGGCCACGTCTTTGGCTGCAGAACTCCAGTTCTTAAGGAAGTACTTTATAATATGTAGGTTGTTCCTTAAAAAAATGAAACCCGAGAAGCATTTTGGATCCTTCCTTGTTAGTTTATTGCCTTGTCCTTAACTCTGGGGAAAGCATATAGCTGACTTTAAAACATCTGGACCTCTGTAGTTTGCTGAGTCCTAGAGTGGTAGTAACTGCTCAGTAAAAGGTGTATTATTTATTTATTGCATTGTAGAGAGTGGGATATAGGACCTCAGCCATGCTAGCCAAGTGATCTACTACTGAGTAGTACCCTCCCAGCCCTTAAATGTGTTATGTAATGGCATGACTGTGTATGCGACTGTGTGTGTGTGTGTGTGTGTGTGTGTGTGTGTGTGTGTGTGTATGTAGAAGATTGAGTCTTGTGGGCTATTTGCTTTATGCCTCCCCTACCCCATGAGGTTGAACCATTGATTGGGTCTTCTAGTTTTCCTATAAACTGCTCAGTGGTCCTCAGGCTCCAAGAGATGACTTGCTTTTTCTGTTGTGGGTGGTTTAGAGAAAGGCATCCAGCAGACTAGTGATGTAGCTCAACTGACGAGTGGCTGGCATGCAGAGCCCTGGGGATTGGTTTAGCACCATATGAAGCTGGTGCATGCCTTTAATCCCAGCCTTCAGAAGGGTCAGAAGTCAGGGTCATACCTGGCCACACGGGCAGTTTGAGGTCAACCAGAGCCACAAGACAAAACAAAACAAAAACCCTAAAAGACCAACTCCAATAGGTTCCTGCCTCTCTGTACCATGCTGTGATAAGAACTTTATCAACCAGGTTTGCTTACAAATCAGCAATGGAAAGAATGGGAGTGATTATACAAAAGGACATTAATCTCAGTGGATAGGATAGTCTTTCATTGCAACCAGCCAGCCAGCAGTCCCTAAACTGAAGTGATAACTAGAGCCCTATGTGTTGTGGGAAGAACTGGTTTAGAGGAGTAAGCCAGCTCCTAAGTCAGGTGTGACGGCACACATACCTGTAATCCCAGTGCTTGAGAGATGCAGACAGAGGAGTTCAAGGCCAGCCTAGCTGTAACTAGCTGGCCTGTGTTGGAGGAGGGGGTAAGAAGCAACAGCCAATCCCAGTGATCCACCTGTCCTCTGGAAGGACAAAGGGTGGCACACTTTTGTCTGCCACCAGGTATCCTTGTTGCTCTATTATTCCTTTCAACCAGAAAGAGCTTGCCCTTGGCCTAATACAAGCAAGACCTGGCCTTTTATGGCAACATTTTTGTCAGCTCCTTGGAAGTCTATTGCAAAGCTTTATGGAAGTGTCAAGTGACCTGTTCCAAGGACTGAGGAAGTGGCCATTCTGTTTAAAGTCAGTGTTCCCAACACTCCTGGGGTTCGTGAGGAGAATATGGGGAACAAGACTAGCCTACAGAGTTGGGGCCTGCAGGAGGGACCTTCGGAAGCTTGGGAATTGGGACAAGACCAGTGTGGACCAAGAACAATGCTTTCAAACCTGCTGCCCTGATCCAGAGGCCCCATGTCTCAGGAGCCTCAGGGTGCTGTGAGAATTGGATCTGTTGTTGCATGGGTTAGCCCCTTTCCCACACTTGAGTTTGTATTGTTTGCTTTCAGGAAAATCCTTTTTTTCCAAGAGTAGGAAGCAAGCAGTGGGGGCTTCACCTCATAGCTTTCGGTCCTGGGTATGGGAAGTGTAGAGACTGATGCTCCTGTCTCCACCCATGCAGTAAAAACGGAGTCTGTGCTTGTAAGTAGTTGGTGTGTGTGTGTGTGTGTGTGTGTGTGTGTGTGTGTGTGTGTGTGTCTTAAAGCACTCTCTAGCTTAATTTTTGCACTCATGTGGACTTTCCCACCTTCAACCTTACTCCAAATCACAAAGGCGTTTGCACACTTGCAAATTCTTTTCAGAAACTATAACTTGATGGGAGTGGAGGACAGTGGTCTGTTTGCACAACTTGCTCCCAGCATCATGCAACATGGGACTGTGAATAGTGCCTAGGATGGCTGTGTGTGTGTGTGTGTGTGTGTGTGTGTGTGTGAGAGAGAGAGAGAGAGAGAGAGAGAGAGAGAGAGAGAGAGAGAGAATGTCAGTCTATTCCGTTTCCAAAATGTGTGTTCCCAGGTTTGGATCTTCAGGACTAAGGCATCAGGATTTGAAGCACAGGTTTCATTTTGAGCACTGCTCTGTGGAGTCAGTCATACCGTAGGTCTGAAAGGAAGCAGGTGGCATGGGTGCTGGCCCTTGCTTATATGTCCAAGGGAAAGGGAGTGGGTGTGGATGGCTGGGGGTGTGGGAGGGAAAGACCAGATCTTGGATATGTTTTGTCTTTGGACCTCAGCCTTGTGTAGTTCTTTCTTCACTTTGAGTATGTTGTGTAATATGCCTAAATATTAGTTCATTAATAAATGTGGATAATTTATAAATAAATACTAGGTTGAATCACAAGAAACTGCCAGTAGTGAGATTGTTTTCATGTATGAAAATGACTGCTGTCATGGTTTAATAGCATGTGTTGGAGGTGTGTGCACTCCAGAGTTTTGTTGCTCATGTATAATAATACACTGTAGGCCCCTGGTCAGTGTTCTCCCAGCTCCACACCTTCACCCCCAGATAACCTAGTCTGCATCTCAGGAAGGGTGGGGGCTTTGAAATACGTCATCTGAATGTGTGTCTCAGTCTATTGAGGTTACTATGACAATAACATAAGCTTTTTATTTATTTTTATTTTGTTTTTCGAGGTAGGGTTTCTCTGTGTAGCTTTGGAGCTTGTCCTGGGAACTAGCTCTTGTAGACCAGACTGGTCTTGAACTCACAGAGATCCCCCTGCCTCTGCCTCCCGAGTGCTGGGATTAAAGGTGTGCGCCACCAACGCCCGGCAGACAATAACTTAAACTTGATGGCTTACAATCAACTGTTCTAGAGGCAAGAAATCTAAGGTCAGGCTGCCACTAGATTCATGTGCTTGGTAAGGGGTCTGGATCAGGGTTCCCAGGCCTTTGCTGCCTCCTTGAGTGGTGAGAAGGGAGCTCCTTCAAGATCTTCCATAGATCACTCTGTAATTCTGCTGTAGAAAGCCCCGCCCTTTTGAGATCACCATCTGCAGGCCTCTCCTGTTGATGTCAACACCCTGGGGATTACAACTACTACGGGTTTGGGGGGAACTTTTAGCCACAGCACACAGTACACATCCAAATGGTGCTGGGGTGCCTCCAGCGGAAACTTCAGTCTCAGTTGCCAGTCCTCTCCAGAGACAGCAGTGCTGTGTGTCTTGCAGGAGCTTTGTGGGGTCTGAAGAGTGTGGACAGACACTGTCTGCAAAGATGGTAAGGTGCTGGCTCTGCTCTACTTTTCCTTTTAAAACTAGCTTCTTAGATTAGGAAATATCCCAAAACCAGCCTTGGGCTGGCAAGAGAGCTCAGTGGGTTAAGGCATTTGCCTGTAAGCCTCATGGCTTGAGTTTGATTCTTAGGACTCACTCCGTGGAAGCAGGGAACTGACTCTCCCAAGCTGTCCACTTATGCACCCGAGTGTGTGCACACACAAATGCAAAAACCTACAGAGCCAGGCTTGGTGGTGCACACTTGTAATCCCAACCAGCAAGTGAGAAGCAGCAAGGGAGGCAGCAGCTTTCCTGTGCCAAGCTACCTGCAAAACAAAACAAAAGGAAAAGCAAATTCCAAATCCACAGCTGCCTCATTTTCACTGGCTTGAATATTCCACGGCTGTGTGTCATTTTCTTAAGCCTGTGCTTTATTGATGGTGTTCATGTTACCCAGTTTCTGCTGCTCTAAGAAATGCCTCCATCAGTTTTGCAGATGAGGGCTCAGGATTAATTAGGGTTGCTCAGTCGAGAGG